AGGAAACTCTAAAGAAGTACAAATTCTATTTCATGAGGATCAGTTGAATGAACAACCCGAATCTCGTACAGAGTAGTTACTTCTCTTCATCTTCATACTATTTTAGAGTAATCAAAGATTCCCATACAGAATTACAACTACGATTGGAAAAAAACTTTTCAGTAGTTAAACCAAGCAGCTATGCGGGAAACTCCAGAATTGAATATGGAATGATTCAGTTCTCAAACACCTTTGCCAGTCGTTTTATGGAGGAAAATTAGAAACATAGGAAGAGGGAACATACACCGTATTCAACAAACAGAAGACAAGTCAGGCTATCAATGTCTTCATAGAAACACATGTGAGGAAAAGCAAGAAGGCATTAAATGTTTTTCAGTCTATCATAACACTAAATTATTTTAAACAGAAAAGTTTCTAATAAACCATCAAATAAACAAAGAGTTCGATAATCAATGTGTTAACACCCGGCGACCGCGTGTACTTATTGAGTACATATTTTGTTCACTACTCATTAAAATTAAACTTTACGCTGATTGCGTACGCTTTTTAAAAGAATAATAATATAATAATAATAATATAATAATTTTCAGTATTTTATTTGGCTGGAAAAATCGGAATTCAACTTAAGTCGACTACCAACTATTTGGATATTTTAGAAAATAGTTGGTTTCAAATTAAGTCGACTATTTTCGCGCAAGAACACCAACTAGGGATGATGAACCAACAAGGGAACTTTATCCAAACACTACCGCTCATTGCATTTATTTCATAATCATATTTGAAAAACTTGAAAAAAACCAAAAAGTCGACTTTTCTTTCAATAGTCGACTTATCTAGTTGATATTTTCATACTAGTTGAAAGTTGAAGTCGACTGTCAACTTTCACCCACCGTAAATTCAGTTCACATTGCTCACTGCATTAACACTGAAGAGTTGACAATAAGTTGACAACAACAACAAGAATTACGGTAAGTAAGTGAGCACAAACTGTTTTTGCTGTGGGAGCCACATTTCCTCTATATTTTCTCTGGTTGTTCACAATATTGCTCATATTACATGAGCAATCATGTACAACTTCTATTTTTGATCAATTAATTAGAAGTATCGAAAGTAAAAGAGTTTTCTGCAAGAAATGTTCCAATCTGAGGTACTTTTCTAGCTGATTTGGGATAAAACAGTATTATTAAATCAAAATAAATTACAGATAACATGATTTGTCAAATACTCCCGAAACATCTGTATCTCTAAGAATAAAAAAATAAAGAAAGCGATCAATATAAAGAATTCCATTACCGCCTAGGTGAAATATGTTACAAATTTTTTTACCGCAATAATCGTATACCAGCAAACTTGTATTCTTCGATTGAACTTAATCTAATAAATATTATCCGTTATGTCGTGATTTTGGAGAACGTTATGAACCATATATGTCAGAAACATTTCCTAATTATAATAATATGCAATAATTGTATTGTTCTTATTTCCAGTAATTGAATTGAAATAATGCAGAAAACTGTTTCCGACAATGATACACAAATTTTTTGTTTGAATTGTAAGAAAAAAGGAAGGAAGAGGTGAAAATGGAGTACAGTACACAGCTTGCTGAATCAACAAAACTACAACTATAACCATAAAGCTACTAGCATCCAACAGGGCTAAGATGATCATTCTAGGATCCAGACAATTCGAATGGAGAAGCAGTAACTACACATTCTCATAACTTCGAATTCATTCATAATTCATTCTTTCTGTAACACTCACTAGTTACTGGTCGGTCTCCAACATCCAACAGTCACAAATATGGATATCTATATCAATTGCATTCACAGCTCTGGTTCATATTTTATAGGCTTAGGAGTCACTTCAATTTAGAGTTCTTATACATCGCGAGGAATCTGTTGATTGTTAAGAATGAATCTCTCTCTTTACCAGTCTCAGAATTTATAGCCCACAAACTATATATGATTCGAGAAAGCAGATCGAGGGAAAATCTGGCACGAATAAGTCGTTTTTTGGTTCACACTTTTGAATTCGGTTAAAAGTGACCAGTGAGACACCATTTGGATGAATATAAGACCGTCCTTGAAACATTCATAGGTCCCTGCAAAGGTAAAAGTGATCATCTTTTCCGCTCATTGCTTTCTTCCACGATAGAGGTATCTTACCAAACTGAAAAGATTTTTATACCCTAATATCAATGGATATAGCTTTGCCACCTCATAAAAAATCAGTTGAATATCTTTTTGATTATTGTCTTTGTAAAGCAAAGAGGGGTTTACATGTTCATTTCTTTATATCCCTACAAGTATCAATCCTCTGTTATATCACTTAAGCACACTCATTCTTTCTCATTCTCTTGATAATTTTCGTCAATTTTCACTTCACACTCATTGTTCTATCATCATTGTTCTTACGAATATCTCTCACCTTTGTCATCATTATGTCGTAATGAACGAACTCATAGCCGATGAAAAGATTAAACTCATAAATATATAATTATCTCAACCTTTGTTTTCATTTGATTATGTGATTAATTTGAGAAGAAAGAGGAATGATACGCAAATCATGATTTTCAAATTGATTGATCGTTACAATACATTATCCCATCATAGTCGATGTATTATTGATTATATAAATGAGTCAGTTTTATAGAAACGATATAGAGTACGTTGGCAGGGGGCCTCACTACCTTGAAATACAAAAGCGCTGCGTTTCAGCGACTGCGAAAGATCTTAGCAATGAAAAGGGCTATTGGAGAGAAAAGAAGAGACCTTGAGAGATTGTCCATGATTCAGGTTCAACTTCTATTTGAAAGAGAGAGAGAGAGAGAGAGGGTGCTGTGTCTGTAAACAAGTGATTTCCGGTCACTTTTCAACTCATTTTCAATATTTTGAACTTACAATTAGAAAAAATAGTTTAGTGATCAATCTGTTGCAAGAAAAGAGAGAAAGGAAAGAAAAGAGAATGATGTTCAAAAGATTTTGATTGTTTATTGTATTTTATATTCTTCAAATACGCAATTAAGAGCTTTTTTTTCCTACTTTGTCTAAATCCCACATTTATGAAAGGTAGAGTAGTGAGAAGAACTTTTTGTTGAGATGTTACAGTCATTGTGTTTTCAACTTACATGACATCTTCTGCGTATGAAGATTTCTTCAATCAACTATGCGTCATAAATAGTTATCAAAAATTAATTATTGTACATCATAATCTGAAACATTTTTTGAAGTTGATAAGTGTTTAGCGTCATTTTGTGATTGATCATACTTTCTCTGTCTGTCTGTCTGTCTGTCTGTATATGTATGTGTGTATATGTGTGTGTTCACTCTTGTTCAGTCTCTTCATCGTCTGCATTGTCGACCATCGCATAACTCTTCGATTTGAATTCCTCCTATGAGTCATCTGCATCTTAGCCTATATAGTCTACTCAACTTTCTAGGAATATCTTCAGGATATTCCTTATAATCTCATTTCATTTGCTTTCTCATCGTTTTTTTGATGTTTTTTGCACATTGCTGTATCGTACGCGGTTTCAAATGCTGTCTATGGGCATATTTGTGTAAGAGAATGGACATACAGCCAAATCGCTGTTGAGAATTCTCTTGTTTCGTTCAATGACACACGTGTAAAGAGAAAGAGATAAACAGGAGGAGGGAGAGACGAAGGGAGAAGATGAATAAGCCCATTCTTGAGATACAATAAGCCCATTCCCCTGTTCGTGAGTTAAGAGATATATCATAATCAGTTAACTTATTAACTTTTCTCGTCGAAAAGCTAGCTTGCTCTCCTTCACTATGAGTACCTTCTAAGCAAGGTAATCATGAGTTGCTCCTCATAGATTTCAATTTTATCAGCAATTTTCTCTTATCTGTTCATATTGATTCTTTTCTCTTTATTGGAGCAGATCACCTATATTCCTCCATTAATGCTCCGCATTTCTAGCTTATTCTGAATTTTTTGCCTGAAAGGAACCTTTTCGATCAATTTCGTGCTTTATTTGCTTTTTACGCAGTCGCTTTTAACATTTCTTTCTGGTTTCTCAAGCTCTGTACATCAGGCCCAAGAGTCATTTCGATGAGAAAAATATTATTTTTGTTTTCTTTTTCGCTCTTACGTTTATATTGTATCATTATAAAAGTATTACAGAGAATTCCAACAGCCTTTCATGTAATATTCGCATATTATGGTAAGTTGAAGATCAGCAAGAGTTGTTCATTTACAATTGTTCAGGCTTTCCATTGGCAGTCAAATGTGAACGTACAGCATGTAGGTGTTGATGATATGGTCCTACTCTCGAAGCTCTCTGAGCAAGCTATCGTAGATAATTTGAGGAAAAGATTGCAAGCAAATAGCATATTCGTAAGCTTTCCAATTAATAATGAATCCATATTGTGTTACAGACGTACATAGGGCCTGTACTTATTTCTGTCAACCCTTTCAAACAAATGCCATATTTCACTGACAAGGAGTTAGAACAGTATCAAGGTGCAGCTCAATATGAAAATCCTCCTCACATTTATGCTCTTTCTGATGACATGTACAGGTTCGAAGAATTTCATATGTTGCTTCTTCTGTTTGTTCAGTGAATTAGACTCAAAACCAAAAATCATTTGTGTATATTTGAAAAATACATTTTTCACTCAGGAATATGATGATTGATAACGAGTCTCAATGTGTCATCATCTCTGGAGAAAGTGGTGCCGGTAAAACTGTGGCAGCCAAATATATCATGAATTACATTTCACAAATATCGGGTGGAGGGAAACGTGTTCAAGTTTGTGGCTTGCGGGATCCACGTTTTATAAGATAATTTTCAAGCATGTCAAAGATGTAATACTACAGTCCAATCCTCTTCTGGAAGCATTCGGTAACGCAGCCACTGTGAGGAATTGGAACTCTTCCCGATTCGGAAAATATGCAGAGATTCTTTTTAGCAAAGGAGGAGAACCAATAGGAGGAAAAGTAGGTTAAGATGTTGTTACTTTGTTCACTTCTCTTTTAGTTATCTAATTTTCTCTTGGAGAAGTCGCGTGTCGTTCGTCAAAACAATGGTGACCGGAATTTCCACATCTTCTATCAACTGTTGTCTGGAGCTGATGATAATTTGAGAAGTAATACAAATTGCGTTAGCCTTATCAAATCTTTTTTTTTTCAGAAAACCTAGGCGTAGGAGAGTTAGAGTATTATAACTATTTAAATCATAGTGGAGTCACAAGAGCAGAAGACACAGATGACAGTAAAGAGTTTCAACATACCTTAGTAAGTTACATTTCTGAAAAAAAGATTTATGATCTATCCAGCATGCCATGAAAGTTGTTGGGATCAATGAGGAATCTCAACTGGAGATTTTGAGACTAGTTTCTGCTGTTTTACACATAGGAAATATTACTTTCATCGAACAAAACAACTATGCTGCAGTCCAGAGTCCAGACTGTGAGTTTCAAGCTGACAAGTAATATCAAAACGCTTTTTCCACATTAAGTTTTGGAGTTTCCCGCATATTTGCTTGGTTTAACTACCGATTCCATCAGAGAAAAACTTATAAGCAGAAGAATGGAGAGCAAGTATGGCTATAAAGTCTTAAATTTCAAGTTTCATCCTCATAGGTGGGGAAATAAAACGGAACAAATTGATATGACGTTGAATGTGGAGCAAGCCAACTATACGAGGGACGCTTGGGTGAAAGCCATATACTCAAGATTGTTCGATTATTTAGGCGAGTTTTATAGGTGATCAATAGAAATAATGAAGAAGAACTTTGCAGTGAACTCTGTCAACCAAGCAATCAACGTTTCTTCTTCTCACGATAGTTTAACTATTGGTATCCTCGATATTTACGGTTTCGAGATTTTTGATCATAATGGTTTCGAACAGTTTTGGTGAGCTGAGCTATTGATATTCATTTTGATCCTTCATTTGACCTTTCAGTATCAATTTCGTTAATGAGAAGCTTCAACAAATATTCATTCAATTAACACTTAAAGCCGAACAGGAGGAATATGTAAAAGAAGGAATTCAGTGGACTGAAATCGAGTACTTCAATAATAAGATCGTCTGTGATTTAATTGAAGAAAAAAGACCACCAGGTTAGTATTTTTTGACATAGTTCCATACTTCGGGAATATAGGGATTATGTCGTTATTGGATGACACATGTGCTCAGAATCATGGACAATCAGAAGGAGTCGATAATCAATTGCTATCAACGCTAAACAAGGTATGATAATAGTTTACCATAATTAATTGGAAACTACTTACAGGCCGTTTCTTCACATCCTCATTATCAAACTGGTAGCGGATGCTTCATGGTCAAGCATTATGCTGGAGATGTAACGAAACATACTTATTTGAATAATTACGTTTTCATTTAAGGTTGTTTACAATGTTGAAGGTTTTTGTGATAGAAACAGAGATGTTCTTTATCCGGACCTGATTCTCCTGATGCAGCAATCCACTAAGTATTGTCCCTCATTCTACTTGTCTCAATCATTCTTTCCAGTTCATTTGCTAAGCAGTTCTTCCAGGATTCTGTTAACACATCTGGGGGTAAACGTCCAACTACGTTTTCCACTAAGATTCGCGTAACTACCTTTGTTTTTTTTTGGTGTTTTTGAACATATATTCCAGAATCAAGCCAACGCTTTGGTTGAATCTTTAATGAAATGCACTCCTCACTATGTGCGTTGTATTAAGCCAAATGAAACAAAACGTTCCGGAGATTGGGATGAACAGAGGTTTTCTCATGTCAGACATTTTTTTTGTATATCATACTATTTGAAGAGTTCGTCATCAAGTAGAGTACCTTGGATTAAAGGAGAATATTCGTGTTAGAAGAGCTGGCTACGCGTATCGAAGACCTTTTGAGAAGTTTTTATGGAGATATGCTATTTTAACGGATGAAACTTGGCCTTCATGGACTGGCGATCCGAAAAAAGGATGTGAAGTGAGAATAGTGTTCTTTAATGAAAAGTTATCGACAATTTCAAGATCATTCTTGGACGTGTCGGACTAGAAAGGGATCAGTACCAAATGGGTCGAACAAAAGTTTTCATAAAGAACCCCGAATCAGTTTAGCTTATTTTCTTGATTGTTTTGACTTAACTTTTTGAAGCTTTTCCTGCTAGAAGAAAGAAGAGAGAGGAAATATGATGGATTCGCTCGAGTAATTCAAAAAGCTTGGAAAAAACATCATGCTCGGGAACGACATATGAAAGAAAAGGTGAGCAGGTTCATAAGACATCATGATCAATAAGGGTTGGTTCTAGGAACAAGCAGCCGACTTATTTTTCGGGAAAAAGGAAAGAAGAAAGTTTTCTCTTAATAGAAACTTTGTTGGAGATTATATTGGACTCGAGCATCATCCGGCTTTACAGGTTCGCCTTGCTAATTCAAAAAGCAAAGATTGTTCAATTTCAGTCCTTGGTCGGCAAAAGGGAACGTGTTGAGTTTGCTCACAGCATGAACAAGTATGATCGTAGATTTAAAGTGAGTGTTATCTTAGGTGTTTACAATACTGTCTCCATTAAGGTAACTAAGTTAGATGTTCTGTTAACTTCTAAGCATCTTACCATGATAGGAAGGGAAAAAGTGAAGAAGGGTCCTGAGAAAGGCCGACTTGTGGAGTGTATCAAGAGGTTTTCATAGTACTTAAACGGGATATCATTTTGTTTGGTTCAGGCAAATCGATCTGCCTAAGATTGCTAGCATTGGTGTTAGTCCTTATCAAGACGACTTTTTGGTGATTCATGTCAAAGACGATTATTCAACTCTATTAGAGACACCTTTCAAAACAGAGTTCATGACTATCCTAAGGTGAGTCATCTATACTATTTTTATTGGGAAACAATTTATATTCAGTAAACGCTACAAAGAGAGAACTAATGGGGTTAACCTAGTACTTGAGTTCAAACAAAATCATTCCGTAGTACTCAAGAAAAGTCGATTCGGAGGAGGAACTAGAACTGTCCAATTCACTCTTGAACCTACTGGAAACGCTCAAGCAGTATTAACACCTAAAGGAAATACTTTGAATATTGCTATCGGACAGGGATTGGCTAATACGACAAGTCAGTCAGCATATAAATTTGCTTGATAGTTCTTTATTTCTAGGACCTTCAACGCAAAGGCCTGTTGCTGGTTACCAACGTAGAAAAGATCAACTGCGAGTTTCGGGACGTAAAACGAAAAATATTAACAATTCAATAAATTCTGCTTACAATCCAATGAATGTAGTCAAACAGGATGTTTCATCATCTGATTCCCACGGTGTGGTTAGCCAGGTTAACATTATTTCCTTTTTTCTCAATTCATTTCTTTAATATTTCAGATTCCTTCTTCTATAGTGAACAGGTCTCCAGTAGCCTTCCAACCTCCCGTTCATCAACCCCCTCCGCATCAACTACCAACTCACCAACCGCCATCACATCAACCTTCTCCTCATCAACAGTACCAACAGCAAGCCGAACAGCCAACCTCTAGGACACAAAGTAAGATTTCATGAAATTAACCAACATAGCTATCTTTCAGTCAACCCGGCGATGGTTGGAGGAGTTCCAACAGCGTTTGCGGGAATGAATATCAACTCTGTTAGTTTAACTCGAACTTTACGTTTTTTTATCCATGTTTTTGAAGAATGGACCTGCACGACCTACTCCTAAGCCAAAGCCACCTGTAAAACCTAAATTATATCCGGTTGTTAAAGCATTATATGCGTATGATGCTCAAGATACAGACGAGCTTTCGTTCAACGTGGGAGATGAAATAGAGTTAACGCAGAAACGTAAGTATTTGGTCTTAGCAAATGGAATAAAGCTCTTTCGCAGATGAATCAGGATGGTGGCAAGGAAAATTGCGTGGAAAAGTTGGACTGTTCCCAGCAAACTATGTTAAAGAATAGGTTTTTGTACATATTTGGATATTGAATTATGTATTTTATGCTTTACGAATTGCTCATGTTAGATCTTCTTAACTTTCTGCGAAATTGTTCATGTTGCCTGTGTTATATTACCGGTCTGTGATTAATCAAAATACTCACTTTTTTTACACTTCTAAAGAATAATTAATAATAGAATAATAAATATTTATACTCAGACCATTGTATTCGCAAAATCGATACGACCTCTTAACTGTTTTAATATGCATGTCACTCACAGTTTTATTTTTGCACCTCTTTCCATAAGAATCGGTTGCATCCGCTGGTTATTTTTTTTTCGCATTCGAAGATGGAGAGTAATGTTCTGAAGTGAAGTAACTCATAGCTTGTTTTGAATTGTTGGGTGTACGTGAAGCGTCGTCTCCAGTGTGTTGAATCTTATGTTATTGGCTTAACGATGTTGAGGAGTGCCAAAAGTTTCTTCTCGATTTACAGATCCTAATGGAAGAAGAAATTACTGACTTGAAGAACTTCGTAGATGAATTTTTTGATAAGAACCCTGGCTCGAAAGAGGAGGATCTTCTATTAGCATTAGAAAAACGTTTTTCGCTGTTGATGGAGGTGAGCTTTGCTGTTATTGTTCCAATAAATCTCTTGTTCTAGGAAATTGATAGGAGAGAGATAGCTAGTGATTCTAAATTATATAATTTGATCGTAGGCCAAATATACAATGCATCACCAAAATACGATGCTCGGGCTGAGTACCATTTGAGTAAAGCGGTTAAACTGGGTATGTCAGAATTCCCCTATTGTGAGCGATGATACGTATTCCAGATATGAACTTGGTGTTAGCATGGCTCGAGCTTGCTGTTTTGATGTCGAAGAAAAAAGATCCGGATTTCGCCATATATTGTTGCGAGGTAAATCTTGTTAGAAACAATTCTCATGTTTCTATTGTCGTTGCCTATTGTTTTTCATGAACTAATCTTCAGAAATCATTAGAACATCAACGAACATGCAAAGCATTGTTCATGCTGTCTTATCTGTTACGAATGAAAGCCACACAACAATCGAACGTTAGTAATAATGAAAAGAATGAACTTTTGTAGGCTTTTCGGCTGAAAGCACAGTAGTAATTCAGTTCCATTATAGCCGCAAGTCCATGGCTTGTGGGGTTGAAGCTGTAGCAATCGATCCAAACTGTGGAAAAGCTCATGTATACTTGGGTAACAGTTACTTTGTTCATTTCGTCAGGTCAAATAGCAGTTTTCAAGTTCTGGTAAGGCATTTGAAAGAGTACACAAAAATCTAAAAACTTTAGGAAAACGCAGCCGAATGCTATCGTAGAGCTCTGAAGTGTGATACTGAGTTTAGAAACCCAGATCTTCATTTGAATTATTCTGAAGTTTTGAAGTATATAAGAAGTAATTGGCATTGTTTCTACTCTCTCTTTCCAGATACAAACAAGACTATGCCGGAGCTTTAGATCATTTGCGATTAGCTAGGAGATTCGATCCTTCAGCTACTCCCAAAGAAAAATATGAGAACCTAGTTACATTTTTGAACAATATACACTCAGCAATCGAAAAAAAAGGCTAGTATAACAACATCTTTTCTTTCGTAATTATTTTTTTAAAGGCAGAATAAAACCCAGGAAATATCAGGAGACGCTTGAATCGTTGAAAGGCTGGGAAACGAAATTGTTTGCAAAAAAACATGTAAGTTCCTGGATTACTGCAATCAAAGATTGTCATATTCAGATTGGCGATAGTAGAGTAATATGTTCCTTCTCTGATTTGAAAGTTGGAGAAAACAGTCAAAAAACTCTTGTTGTATCTGTTGTTGCTACTTTATCGCATGAAGAGCAAATTCCTGTGTAAGAAAACTTCCTTGAGTGAATTAAAGACGATTTTTGTTCAGCACCATGGTCGTTATGGATAGCACAGGATGCTCTTTTGCTGTCATGATCTACAATGCTAGATCTTCGTTCGGTTTTATTATTGGTGATGTTGTTGAGATTAAGAACCCATCCGTTGTTTTGTCTGAGGTACGAGTTATTACTAAGACTGTTTTAACGACTTTTTCAGAATCTCAAGATCTCAGACACTAAGATAATTACTGAATTGAAAATGATTCATGTTAGCAATCCCACTCAACTCACTCGGAATGGAGTATCAATTCAAGCTGCTTCTGTCGCTCCAACAAGTTTTACATTAACTGACTCATAACATCAAGCTTGCCTCGGGTAATGCTCTGGAGCATTTACAAGAGATGGAAAAGTTTGTTTTTGACATTTGATGAAGATGAATCCTACCGAAGCAAATTTCTCGGATGCTGACAATCTGGGCCTTACTTATTGAATCTCATTCAGATAATGTAATATGCATAGCTATCTCTCCTATGTTCTTCGTTCTCTCAATAGAAATCTCTTCTTCCTTTGAAACATGTGATCATTCCGCATTATTTCTTAATATTCACCTGTCATCTCTGAACTTCAGTTCCATGTGTGATCTCATTTCGCTGAACTTCTGATAGATGTTTATAAAAGCTTCATATCGGTCTCATAAAGATTTTAGTCGACTGCTTTCTTCTACCGATTAAGTTTCTCTCTGTGTCGGATGAAGTGAAAACATCTTTCCGACTCTCAGAAATGGATACATTTGAGGGAAGCTCATCAAACCAGAAAAAGCCGACATCGAGAAAGCAACAGAACAATTGTAGCGAGGTTGTAAGCTCTGCTGGAGAAGAAGGTTAAATTAGTGGAAAACATGGATGTAAGCAAGTTTTCAATCCTACTTCGTCTTTCCTTAAACATCTACGTTTTTCTGCATCTTTCTTTTCTGTGCAAAAGTAGCTGCAAGAGAACAAAGAGATTTGGAAAGCACATTAGACAATTTTTAAAATAATTTTGCTTTCATCAAGTACTTCACTGAACTACATTACGCTCATTTACAACTGCTTCATGCAGTCGTTTGTCTTTTGATATATGATGAGCCATTTTCAATAGTATGAATTTGAGTTTCTGTCCTTGTTCCAGCCTCCTTCTCCAACGATCGTTCTTCTTTTATCAGATGTTAATGTGGGTTCACAAAAGCTATTCTAACTTCTCAGTCCTCTTGAGATATTTAAATTCATCTTCTCTTCATCTCATCTTTAGCTATTAACTTTTATTTTTTCGATATATTGCTCAGAAAACACAGCTGCTAATCTTATTGCCAGAGGCGACTTCCTCTTTCTCGATTCCTGCGAGTTTCATTGATAAAATCATTTTTGAGACGCAGACCTCACTTAGCGGTTGTTTTTTGTTCTCGAGCATATTTAGTTCTTTCTCTCTTTGACTCCTCCCTATCTTTTCTTCTCTGTAAGGTAAGAGTAACTGTTTCAAATCAATGAGAGAAGCCTCTTTTCTTTAATGTTGTAATGAAAGCCACCTGTACGTGTGTTTATGTTAGATGTCGGAAAAACTTTTATTAGAAATCATTCATCCTTCTCCCATCTTTTCGATCTCATTCACATAGCTCCTATTTATCTTCTGAAACTTCCTAGAGGTCGAAAATCGCTTCTAACCTTTGGATCTTTGGAGAAAGGTTAAATCGTTTCCCTCATTTTCACGAATAGCTTAAGAAAACCAAGTCCTTTATGGATTTTCGAATAATTTTTTTTTGTGTGAGAGGGAGATGCGAACTTGAGCAGGGTTTTCCTGTTCACTCCATGACATTCTATTTGAAACCGGAGATTTCCAAGCAGAGCATTTGTCTCATCTCACTTAACCTCTCAAACTTCTTCCTCAATTATCTATTCTGTTCAATTAATATTTTAGTTTCATCCAGACTTTCCATTTCTGGCAATTTGACCGCCAAATGGAGTTTCCTTTACTCCATTTCTTTCTCTCTCTCTCTCTCCTTTTCCATCTTTTGCTCTCTCCCTCTCCCTCTTTCTCTCTCTGATCTTCATGGAGAAGAAGTTTGTTATCGTAACTCAGGTCGTTAAAAATTGTTTTTTTTTACAAAAAAGTGTTTTGTGATCAAGTTACGCCGGGTTTATGAGGAAAAAGATGAGCATTTGAACTAATCAGAATTTGTGTGTAGTCGTTTCTCTGATCCAATGTTCCGGAATTATCCAATTCAATCATTGATGTATCGTTGGTTGATCATTCTGAAATTGAACTAATTATGAAAATCAAAGAATGACTTCTCTTCTCATTTCTCTTTTCTCTTCTATTTCAATTTATTCATTGGAAGAGTGAGAGAGAGAGAGAAAAAAAACGAGGAAAAGAAGGTTAGTGAGGAAGAAAGAAACATAGAGAGCCTGAAGAAGAGTTCTTAGGAGATGTTGATCGATTTGAGGAGATTATTCTGATTTTTAGATGTTGGATCTCAGTCGTTTCATCTATTCAAGCTTCTAATGACTATGTGTGACAAATAATTGTTTCAACTGTCTCCTTTTCAGTTCACAAATCATTCTCTTCAGTCAATTTCTGCTAATTTTTCAGCAATTTCAAGAACATTCCAGAGAACAGTTGCTCTCTCTATATATGATAATGGCTTATTTGGTTGAGTTAGAGCCAATGAGGTTTTCTTTAAAAATCAACGTTGAGTTTCATTAATCAATCTCTGCAACTTTGATTTTTCGACTGTTAAAGCTTAAACTTCAAAGTTTCTTTCCAATTTCAGACATCCATATTTGGCCTCTAAATAAAGGCTTTTGATGAGATGTTATGAAAAAATTTCGATGTGTTCCTTGAGTTGATTAGCTTCCTGAGTAGCCTTTGATATCTGTACTTTCCGCCTCTTTTTTTTTCTTTTTTTGTTTTCTCACAGCTCATTTTGATTGTTGAAAACGTATCCTCTATCCAATGACAAAAACATTCAATTGTGAACAAGCAATAATTTCTTCTGAGGACATCTCTTGTTGATTTTCGTTTCGTTTGAATGTCATTTTGTCTTTTTGCAAGTTTATACTGTTTTCTTTCGTTCCTCTCTATCTCGCTGCCTCCCACTCGTTTAACTCAGCCTTTACTAACAACTCTCGAAGCAAAATAAGTTTGAAAAAGACTTTCTAGGAAGCAACGTCATTTTTGTATCAACGAGCTTTGTGGATTGAGCACAATCTGCCACCCAGATTGTTTTTTATTAGTTACATTGTTAAGCTTTTCCCTCATCGTCTGCATATATAGATTGTGACTTGTCAATTTCAAAGCTTTTGCACTCCTTAGAGATCCATGGACAGCAACAGACTAGCTATTCTTCTTTTAAAAACTGAATAGAGAAAAGGAAGTGAATGATAGAGTTCCTGGCTGCATGTTGTTTATATGCTAACTACTATCCCACGCTATTCTCCACGTGTATATGTGATGACCACACTAGCTTTCTTCATTTGTTATAGCAACAGACGAGAAGAGCGGTTGAGTTTTGATTTGGATGTGAGATGAGAAGTAAATCAAATATGCAGAAGACAATACTATCGTCGTCACATCCGAATGACATTTGAAACGAACTCAGATCGTCTTCAAATTTCTAATTTGAAAACCAAAATTGTGTTGTTATTGTTGGTAGCAGAAGCATGGAAACAAATAAACAAAAAAATATAAATTAAATGGATTTTCAAATGTCCTTTCCAAAAAAAAACTACTTCAACCAAACAAATTCGTTATTTCTTGCTGTTCTCCTATTCTCATCTGCTGTCTTGTCCCTTGTCGTTATCCGCCTCCCTCCCTTATACTCTCTCTCTCTGTATATGTATATCTCTTCTTCACAAATTGGCCAAAGAAAATTGGAAAAATGATTGGCGAATAAAAAAGTTTTCTTTTTTTCGGGCAAATCAAAACTTTTGTAAATGAAAATGTTTTGGACAATTTAATTTTTGACAGCGTCATACCATAGATGTGAGTAGGAGAACATCAGAAACTGGTCAGTCTTATAGATGCATCTGAATCATCACACACTCACTGTGCTGCTTTTTCATTTTTTTTTTACCAACTGATATGTATTCTGATTTGTGTTCAATTGTTTGCTTGTATGCAACTAATCGAAGATTAATTATATCGTATAGTTAACCAAAATGAAAAAACTTTTTTGCCTGTTTTTTCTGTTAGAGTCAAATTTCATTATGTTATGAATGTTTCAAGCTGAACATGAAGGGGGGAATAGAAGTGAGGCAAGTGAAGGCTGAGAAAGGGGGAATGGAGTTGGATAAGAAACGTTCTTTTGTGGCAGAATCAAAATAAAAATCTTGTCGTTTCTACTTCTGTTTCTTTGAGAAGTTTTTTTTCTAAAAGTTTTGTTTAAATTTGTTTGAAATGAGAATAAACACAACATGCTCATCCATATGGAGATCCAACTGACAGAAGCTTTTGCTTTAAGCAATGCTGACCTCAAGAATTATTTTGAAAACTAAAAAAATATTTATATTTGAGATACAGAGAGAGAGAGAGGGAAAGAGTGAGAGGGAGATGAAGAAAAAAATAAATGAGAAAGTTCAGCGATTAAGAATATTTTCTTTTTTGCGGGTGTTTGTATATTTTGTTGTTATTCTGTGCAACTATTTGATCTCTGAAGATGGAAGACTCGAGTGATGCTTTTCATCTTTCGATTCCATTACTCTCTGTAGGTATACCTATAGCTTGACATAACCAATATATGATCTCTCCCCATCTCGCTTGTGTTAGTAAATGCAACCGCTCTAATCTGAGTTCAAGAAAGAATAAAATGAAACATTGCCTGCCATGCAATACTTCTTCATCACCATCATCATCTCATCTCATTAGCATATTGAGCTATTTCATTTTGAGAAGCAATCTAATTGAAACATCTTTATATTATATAGACTATAAAGATATTGTTAATATTTGCTTTAATACAAATAGAGACAGTTCTTCACACTTGACTTTGTTGTTTTTGCAATTCAGATGAAAAAAAAAATTCTTTTAGTAAACGAAGAAGAAGAAGATGTAGAAAGAGAAAAAAAAAACGAAAAGAGGATTTAAAAGTAAGAGAGAAGATCTACGCATACATTCATTCGTATGTCTAGTTAGTATAGTTAGTTCATTATATGTTTTCGGCTCATAAAAGGTCATTGCAATTCATTTTATGTAAGGCAAGCTTAAAGCATAATATAGTCGAAGCCTATCAAACTGATGGCGGCTTTCATTTTGTTGAAGAAAACTTTTTAAAAAGAAAATATAATGGATGAGTACTGAGGGAGCTATTTGTTTTGACTACTCTGAAAT